ATCTCTACAATTAGTTACAATTAGATCTACAATTAGTTAGTTTTTACCAAGCATCAATGATTCCGGAATTAAACACTGACCCTGTTCCAGAGAAAATTCGTTGAAATTCGATACCCAGTTCCAGAGAAAAATTGCTAAAAATGATAACCTACAGTTCCAGAGTAAAATCACTGAAAACAATACCCTGGTTGGCGGCACGTCCCGTATAGCAAATTAGGGGAGTACCTCCCAGGGCTTTTTTATATTAGAACACAGAAAAAAAAACAGTCCAGCAAACAAATGTAAACAGGCAATCCACAATTAAGTGGTGACTTTGCATTTTCTAAAGGTTGACAGCTTTTTAAATGCAGGTTTTATCCTATCCTTTTTCAATAAATCACTACTTTCAATAAGTAGTTCATTTTAACATTGTTATATGCTAGGGTGTAAGTTCTTTTAACATTGCAGCTATAAGCTAGGGTGTAAGTTCTTTTGACATTGGTTCCAGATCTTACCATGCTTTCTGCTTCTGATAGCTTTTGACAACATACACCAACTGCGCCATGGCTTATCTAGAGATAAAACGTATGTAAATGTTGTGAAAGATCAACAAAATAACTATCAATTSCAGCTAAAGACATCAAAGCATTCAKATAGTATTAGTATTAGTTAGTAAACTTTATACTGAGCATAATTAGTCAAGCAYACAAGGGCATGGCAGTCTTCAATAAAGTTCAGTAAAAGTTTGTTAATTTTATGGTGTTTTATAAGCTAATGGAAGTGTGTGATAGATACAATSAATCACAGGCAAAACTCCACCRTACCCCAGACAATAGACCACTTTCATAAGTGCCTACCATCGATTCATACAATTGATAATATTATGTATTAAAACACGAGAGAGAGAGTGTGTTTTATCAGATCTATAAAGATTCAAGACGAAGGCRAACGGCTTCAAAAACTCCAACACTAATTTGAAACTCAAATCCGTTAAAGTTCTTGGAGAAATTGCTGTAAAAATATGTTGAGATAAATGAGGCAAACTGATCATGCGCAAATCACTTTACAAAGCACTCTTTTTCATCCCACATTGAATACACATAAAGTAAAATAGAACCGCCGTTGGCCGTTTATTGCAATCAGTTGACATCCTGCATTGGCCAATGATCAGGTATCAAACCAGAGACCTTTGCTAGGGTCATGGACCTTTATATCTGATAAAGGTTATCCTTATTGACATCCTGCATTGGTCAATAATCAGGTATCAAACCTGAGACCTTTGCTAGGGTCATGGACCTTTATATCTGATAAAGGTCACCCTTATTAGTATTCTTTATATAAAGAATACTAATAAGGAGTGTTTTATCAGATATAAAAAGGTCCATGCATGTGACCAAATAGGCTCATTGTATTGGCCTAATAACTCATTAATTATGTATTAGTTTTTTAATGAAATATTCAACACTGCCATATGGAAGAATTACTATCAGAAATAGGTATTCGTGGAAAGTTCTGAAGCTGTGGACCAAATACTAACTAAGTTATAAAGGAATAAATATACAAGGATTTGTATTGAATTCTTGGCTGATGCCTTGGTAGCCTTGTTTTGGTGTTTTTGTGCATGTTCTAACCCTTATAACTTTTCCAGATGATTTTTAATATTTTTCAGTGAAACTTTCAGAACTTATCTTGAGCTTTGATATCTATCAACTGAGTGGGGTTTTTTTATTACGCTAATTATAGTCGGCCATTATGAAAGTCACCAATGAGATTATACCCTATCCTAGACGAAAAACTACCCTATCCCATACAAAAAGACTACCCTATCAACCTCGTTCCCAGGGCCTTATCCCTTCGCTTGGTGTCAGGCAGGAAAGGCCCTGGCATCGGCTGACCAAACACCCTAAAATTCTGGGTGTAATAAATTATCATAACATTACACATCSATCATCACTATTTAGGGATTTTTTAGTTTGAGTGCATGGTAAGTATTTGTAACAGTTTGAATTACATTCAACTACAAGTATTTTCCTTATAAAAACTTAAAACTACTACAAAAGAAGAAGTATATTTTCAACGATAAACAAGGAAACGAAATGAAATAGGACTGTTTTAACTTCAAAATCGATTCAAAACATCRGAAGTGTCATTGTATTTTTAAAACTTAACAACCTGTCAAACTTGGTCAAGGTAAAGCGGCTTAGCCAGTAAGGGTTAATCATAATGTTCTAGTTGACAGATGCTTCAACAACGCAGATTCTCATGAAGAAAGGTTTTCACAGAAAATGCAATCAAAACTTTACTCGATTAAGCAACAAAAAGACCCTGATCAGCTATGGAGTCCTGCTTGTCTTAAAATCTGTCTCAAGAGCGTGTTTTCATCTGCAATCTTTCGCGATGTGTCAAAAGGTCATTTGGATAAATTATAAAAACAAAACTTTCTCTCAGCCAATCAATTTAGAGATGTTGCTAGTCGATGCTGTCTGACCCCAAGCGAAGGGATAAAGGCCCTGGGAACGAGGTTGCTATTGGTTGCTACCCTATCCCAGACTTGGAGTTTCTATAGCAAATATAGGGGAGTATCCCCCCTCCCACCTCCCACTGGGACACTTCCCAGATTTATCCAGGAGAGTCGACACTTCTTTGTCTCATTAAGTAGCAACATGAGAAAAAGCTACAATCTGAAAAAAGGTATAGTACAGTTTGTGCAAAAACGCATTTTAACGTTTTTTAAAAAAACCTCTAAATGTTTTCCTAAAATTCCATTCGAAACATACTATATTATGTACTAGTTTTAACCGGTTCACTACTGTTCTTTTACCTGTTTGTGGGCGATCGTTGGACATTTATGTGCTTTACAATGTGGACGTACTTTCACTCCAGAGTTTACTGCGAGTAGACTCTCGGGTAGTTTCTTCAAATTTTTTTCGAATTTGTCTAAATCTATCAAGAGCGCTGGAGTATCTAGATCTACTACTTTTTTTCCTATTCGATTGAACATTGTSGATGTATATCTTGCACAGATTTGACTGAAAAATGATCTTGCTCTAAAAGACAACATGGACAAAGAAGTTTACAAGGCGTTCCTTGTAGTAGTGCCAATACTACTCGACCAACAGGAAGCCCAAAAGCTGATCCTTCTTTTCACTGTACGTAAGAAGTTACGTCAAGATCATGAGTTTTTGCCAAAAAATATTTAAGTAAACAATGCAAAAAATAAGCAACTTTMAACTAAAAGGAGCTATTTCTGACCGTTTCCGGGCCTATTTGAGCTGCCTCGCTTTGGTGAAGACATAGATGCGCAACTGGTCCTACTATAAAGGCWATYAGCAATTGAGAAGAAGAATGAAGATTGATAGAAATTGAAAATTCTACTTTCCAGAAATGCTTTGTTCTGTATTCATATGAGTCTTGTGCATGCTTTAAGACGGGTTATTKAGTCTATCCCACATTGCTTAGTGACTTGTTTTCATTTCTTTTTTATGCGTGTTTTCCCGTTCAAAGCGAGCAACCGCTGTTTTAAAAAAAGACCTTACCAAAAACAAAACTGTTTTCAATAGATCAATAAATGTGCATTTTCTCCGATTCTGTCGCAGTTCCCAGGAGGTTCAAACTCTTTCTCAGGCTAAGCATCAAATCGGTGAAGATTCAAATTTCTAGAGCTATTCTATATGACAACGTGTGCTTTTGCACCCTGGACATCCCATAATTTCTTCAAAATTCAAGGTGGCGTCCGTATATGTAAAAAATGTATATTAAAATAAAATGCATTGTAATGCTTTTAATGGTCGGAAACGACCATTAGTTAATGAAAAAAATAATTCATAAATAAAACAAAGTAAACGCATTGGATTTTTAAACTAAACTGCTTAGCCAAGGGAGAACAGACGAGGGGTCACYCATAACGTCAATACGTGTGAAACTGCTGCATGTTAATAAGATGACTCATGTCGCCCCATGACAAGGAATCCGGAATCCGACAAAACTTTGTCTCTTTAATCCGGAATCTAGACACGGAATCTGGAATCCATGGAAATGGAAAGAAATCCAAACTATATGACTTGAAATATTTTCTAGTTACCAACGCCAAAAACATGCTAGGATTCTTTGCATTTTGAATGCAATATGATAAACGAATCAAGGGAACCTAGGGTTAAATATTCAGAATCCTTTCGCGAAAGTTTTGATGGAATCCGGAATCAAGGAGCCGCTTTGATACGCTCCGGATTCTGTATCATGAGGAGGATGCACGTTGGCCGGTTTTGTTCAGAAATTTGTAYCATAAGCCAAGATGACAGTTTTAAGAGACAGTGCTGTCACTATCACTAATAAATATCAATCTGGAAAATGATATATTCAAAGCAAAGTTCATCGCTTCCCGTAAAGTCTGTTAAGGTCTGAACCTCGTTTATTAAAAGCAAAGCATTTTGTGTTTAATTCYATTGTTTTCTGTTTATTGTCTTGATGGATTGTTGAAGGATCCTGGATTGTCCGTGCTGGTGTTGCATACCAAACCTAGGGCGATTATTCCAGTAAATGAGATTAACCAAACTCTTAAAGTGTCGGTCGAAATATTGACGACGTAAACTCAAATACTGACTCGACGAGTAACTCAGCTATGTACACAAACATGGAAAATGTGTTCAAATTGCTTYATTTATTATAATGGTCCATACATCACATAATCATTTAAATGGACAATTCACACCTGAATACAAGGTGTGTCTGTCTGTAATAGTTTCCACCATCAACTATATCATAATACAGATAATAAGATTTGTCTGGCGCGCATGGGAATGAAAGCTTCATATCGAATCAACTGAACTTATTATTGATGGTACGTAATACGTCCACACTGTAAACTGCAGTGAAATAATTGGCAGTGTTTCATTGTCTAGTTTCCTGTAAGAAACCGCCAGCCAAGGAAGGAAATTCTACCCACTTGTTCCTATTAATTCGTCCACATAAGAAACGTTATTTGGCAGTGTTCCTTCACGCTGGAAAATCGAAAAATACAAATACGAACCAACAATAACAACTATAGCAAGTAAAACATCAAMCATGTAAAATCGATTAAAMGTTTTGAATTGTTAATACTAGGATGAGAAATACTCAAAGGCAACGCCATGAGACAGTTGCATAATTTGCGGTTCTCGTTGTTTTGCGTAATASCCGTTCCTCCTCCCCGCTGTTTTTGGTGTTGAAAGACATCGAATGCATGCATTGGTATAAAAATGATGATCCGTCTAACACAAAACCAGTCCACTGTACACCCAAGCCACAGTTCTATCTCGGCCACCCTAAGCTAAGCTCACCATGCAAGCACTACTCGTTTTGATTTTGGCCTGTTCTGTTGCCGTTGGCAGTGCCACTGCCAATAATTGCTGCCCTTCTTTCTCAGCTTCGCAAGAGAAGTTTCTGCGCGGTTTGTTACAGGAGGAAGCTAAAGGATTGAAGGCTGGAATGATGCGCGCCTTCTCGATGCAGCCAACAGGTACAGTTCAGCTCATTCAACGTTGAATGTTAAATTGTAATTGCCGAGTAGTCAGACTAATGGCGTTTRACTATGTCTACTTGTCTACTTGAGTCAATTTCCTATCTAAGCAAAAAACGAAAACGAACCCATATCAATAAGAAATCATTGCAAAGTTTCAGTAAGATGAGACTTGGTGGTTTCTCGTACACTTTACAACGACATCGTATCGCAGACAAAGAAAATTGCAATAATACATCAAACTAGTCAATCAAGTTAGACCTGTCATATGTTTTCATTTTAAAATTAGAGCCCGCATTATGGATGGCTAGAGATTGGGCAGCCATGTCATTAACCCCGACTGGCTTGGTGTGGGGTTTTGTCTTAGTTTTCCATGTGATCTGCGTGCGTTTGGCGTGCAATGAGCCTGCACATACGCTTTGCTAGGGATGCGAAAAACAAAAAAAGCTTTCAGAGTACAGTATTGACTTCGTCCTGCTATTCTAACCCATTCATAGGTTCAGGTTTCGTGTTTTGGAAAAGAGCTTATCCTAGATTGGGGATCGGAAATCTTAACGTTCTTAGACGAGCTTTGTATCCTTCTGGATGTTGGCATGAATTTTACCTATAACCTTAACAATAACTTGTTTACTTGCATGATCATTAACATCGCTGTTTTTCCTTACTTGATCTGTGCACGCTGAGCTTTCTCTGTTGAGAAACGGGCTTAAACAGCGTCAAAGCGGTTTAGTGTGGATTTCGGCCTATTAATAAGTTAACTGGAAATGACGGGCTTACGATCGTACGACTAACAAGCCGATATTTTACTAGAGGGGGGTGTTTTGTGGTGATGGGGGTGATGGCCTTTATTAGAGACGTGATCCGGTAACATTGACTGCTGTAGTGTGCTATAGAGGCGGTTTCCTTTCAAACCGTTCGGTTTCCGATGAAATTATCATCTGCAGTTTGACAGAAGGAAAGGTGTCGAGTATTTCAGCCTTCACACATTGTTCACGGCCTTGTTAATTAATTGGTAAGCGCTAGAATGAAACATTCCTTAGAAAAGAGACAGCCGTACACAAAATTCCACGGACTGCCCACTCGGTCACTGCAGCCGATATGTTATGGGAAAGATACCATGATTGATTGATTGATTGATTGATTTGATTCTATTTCTTATTCTTCAACAGTGAGATGGTTCAACTTATCTAATAAACTAGTGTGTTTCGGAGCAACTGGCAACTCTTTTGGTCGTTTCAATGTCAAAGCAGAAGGTTTTGTGGCCGCCATCAAGCTTGTTTACTACAATGGCTCATTAACATGTGATAGGAACACATTAGCAAAGAAACCAGACGAATTCAACAGCAAATGGGGCTGCGCACCAAGCCATCCTTTCTTTGGCAAAACGTCAATCAACACACTCGTTACCACGTCAACCAACAAGATCATATTCCCCAAAGACCATCACTTCACACATGACCACAGCGACCTATGGTATAATATGGAACAGTTTGATTCCATGTCTGACGTTCTGGTCTTTCAACGATTTCACGATCCTCTGTACGTGGCGACTGGGCAAGAACTCAGGCTTTGGTACGGAGAAGACTTGAAAGACGTCAGTGAAAAAGATAATTATGGGAAGACATGCGCACGAGTGCTTGCCTTATACGTTTGAAATGGACATTTGCATCATCATGACTGTTTGGAATGCTGTCGTGAAGCGTTCTCCCTTGAATCAAAAATTAACACCTTTCTACTGATTCACTCRCGTTCGTTTGTTAACATGACATTCAGTTTTGAATATATTTGAACGACGTAAACTATATCAGCAAGTAAAAATCAATTTCATAAAACTTGTAAAGATAGATGATTTAATATTAATTAAATAAAGAAACCACAGGCAGTCCATCCCTTGTGAGCAGTGCAACATGCACCTCGCACGAACAACGCAATAAAAACAAATATCAAAAGGAATTTGAAAAAAATTCCMCAAATCGAAACATTTCCGTGATAGACGGTAAAAGCTGACCTGTTGGAGGGAGGGGGATCACAGCAGTCCGCTGCGGATTAACTCGATGTATAGTTTGCTCCCAGTCCGGATAAAACGAAAAGCAATTTAAAATCGATAAGTGAAATGAATTTCTTCGCGTTATATTCGGAGAAACGTCGGACAGAAGTCGGGTTTCCAGAATGAGCTCAAATAACGACGTTGTAATGACGTAACAATTGCTAATTAGCTCGTTAAAGTAGTTTTTGCATCACGACGTTCAGTCATGCCGTTTGCAATATATTTGACAAAAATTGTAACAATTTTTGTTACCTTCTTATTCATGAACACATTTATTCCGGTAACGGAAACACCAAAGATGGCTTTGCTGTCATACTCGCCTAGAAACATGATAGAGGGTAAGTCAATATTTAGCGCGCGCTTTCACCAAGGGTTTATCAAGTCAAATTAAAGAAACAATCATTGCTGTTTGTTTTAATAAGATTGGTCATACAAACCAGATCAAATGGCCGAAATCTTATCACTTAAAATGGAAGAAATTAATTTGCACATCATTCAGGGTAAGTTCAGCATTGTTTCAGAAGTTTGTTTGTTGTTTTTGCTCA